CATACTCACTGTGTTCTTAAATTCTTTATACTTCGTTTTTTAACTACTCTTAATTGTATTAAACTAATAATTATTCTTCATGAACTCATAAACCTGTAAATCCTTTGTGTCTATAATTGCTTTTTATGTGTTTATTGAGGATTACTTACCAATTTCGTCGTTGCTGTAATCAGTAGAACATTGTACAAATGTTTACATGTTCTACTGCCAATATTTTAAGTGTTCAGTGTAATTATTCAATTGATTTATAAGTTGGTCATTAATGTTGCAGTTTTTGTATTCTTTATCTTTTGTTATCTATAAAACAAGACTTGGAACTGATAATTAATTCCACATTTATTGTAAGATGTATGACTTATTCTGTATCCAGCAGGCTTCCTACTTTGTATTTGTAGAATTCAAAACAAATCTGAAATTTGAAATGCATGCAATAAACTAACAGAGCTCCTGGGATGAAATCACAGCCTGTAATGATAAAAGAAAAAGCATACATGCTTTCTGCATAATTTTAAATCAGACTGATATCTTCCTTAAACAGCTTGCATTTTAAAGTTGTTGTTCATATAAATGTAGTAGTAAACTTCTTTTTAAGAACATTCATCTGTATTCATATGGTTAACATCAGATTGAGAGAAAAATCGGAGTTAAACTGCTATTAGTATTTAAATTCAGTTTTTGTCTTCATTGAACAGTTTGAACTAATCTGCTATTAGTATTTAAATTCAATTTTGGTCTGCATTGAACAGTTTAAACTATCACTTTACACAAAACCCAAAGCTGGATTAACACTCACTCGTTGGCTATTCACTTGCATTGCTTCAACAGCACAGCTTGTATAGTGTTAAATGAGTTATGCTGATGAATATGAATGAATGTTGATGGTCCCCATCTGAAGGTGATTCCTAGGCATTTATCCAGACAAGCTCAGGAAAATCTTAGTCGTGGAAACTAATTATAAGACTGAAATGAGAAACAAGTACCTCTCATATTCTAGTTGGATGAAGTACTGCTAAACCAACCTACTCAGTTAAAGACCAGACTTCAGAAAACTGCTGGTTTTGGTATGACATATGAGAATATACAATAGTTAACATGACAGAAATAACTGTACTCTCGACAGGATTTATGGAAGGTGAATAAATGAAATGAAATGAAATATACCTACACACATAACAAAAACCATGTCAAAGCAGTGTGAAGAAAGAAAATGTTTTTCCAATATTATCTTGACAGCAATGCCCACTATAAAACTAGGCAATTTTAATTGCATGGACAAATTTTGGTGCTACCTTATGTTCCCATGTTTGACTGCTGATGTTCTGTAGTGGCAGGGGGAAAAGTCGACTGTTCTTTCTGATATTGCTTACGATGGTGACAGTATGAAAATTACATTCAACATGAATACACAAATGAAAGACTACCCAATTCAATGAATATTAAATGTTAAAGAAAGGCATTATTTAAAGAAACAAATTTAACCATCACTTCTGATGTTGTAGGCTGATGTTAAAACATAATTACTGGAATAAATCGAGGCTCAACCTTCATTATAATTCGACCCCGTCTGAAAAATGATTCAGATTAGATGTCAAGTATGCAGCACAGTTTTAATAACATGGTTCATTTTGCCAGCTATCTTCCAAAATTACATTAATTGTCAAATAATTCATTACATAATTTAAAAATGATGGAAAGTTGCCATCCTATGATCTTGAATTATCTATGTTCAATACTGCTGTGAAATCCATACATAATCTTGCTCTCATGTCTGAAAATAGTGACTATAATATTTTAAATCTCAATGCAAAAATACTTATAGACACTAATATATGAATATAAATATCTTAATATTAAGCATACCTCACACATCTCCAATTCTTTAGGATATATGTTGCCAACTGTCAATCACTGATATGTCATAGGTTTACTTTGTCACTGATCCCTCATTGAAACCATGGAAAATGTCTGATATGGAACCTGTTTGTCTTATTAACATAAAATATTGGCCACGCCATAGCTCAAGCAGTTAGTCACTAGCTTCCCACCGTGGTGGCCCGGGTTCAAACCCGGGTCTGGTCAAGTGGGATTTGTGGTGGACAAAGTGGCGCTGGGGTAGTTTTTCTCCGAGTACTTCGGTTTCCCCTGCCAATCTTCATTCCACCAAATTTTCCATCATCATAATCGTCCGGGGCAGGTACAACAGGCCAATCAGTGGCTGCCATGCTGAGTGGATCCAACTGAACTCCACCCCCCCACTATGTGAATTAAAAGAAAAATAAATAAAATATTTGTTCTTGCCATTTTCACAGTCATTTCAGGCATATTCTTCTCGGTCTTCAACATCACATATAGACCCTATAAAATTTCTAAATTTATTGCATATCAAATGTTCTTTTCCATGTATACGAATGGTGAACATTAATCATATTTAAATTCAATACAAACTCTGTAAAGATTAAGTGGCCATTTTCAATCTGCAAGTGAGAAGACAACACTATATGCTTCTTGTGGGAACAATGGACAAGCAAGGGGCAAAATTACAGGAAAAACATAACAACGGGCTTGCAGATGAAAAGAGTGAGCCACCGCAAGGTAAAAAACTGATGAATGATATTGTAACGTGTTTTCCTTAGACAAGTGGATGACGCCCCTTGTGAGGTGGAATTAGGAGTTTTAGACAATTAAAAATTTAAACGATTTTTAATTGATTTTAAATGCAGTGAACTGTAACATGTAAGATTTTAACGCATAACAGTTGAGTTCATTGTAACAATTTACTTACAAAATGTTCAGGTATGGGCATGTGGAATGGACAATACTCAGTGCAGTGTAGCAGGTTTGGCATAATGGACACCTGAGGATAGCCGTTTGGGGCAGAACATGTTGTGTTAATAGCGAAAGCAAATGTGAATGAAGAAATAAATAGCTGCATTATTGACGGAAAATTGTATGTATATAAGGTTGACCGTTTTCAATTGTGTCAAAATTTCACATACTATACAGTGTACTTTTCTTTCAATACTCTTTTCTGTATAATAAACATTAAATTGTATGCATCTAAGGAAGAAAATTCAAGAATATAAAGCAAGAAGTACATACTGAAACAGCAGGTTAAGCATCTAGTAAGCACTTCCTATAGTTACATTATAAACGACAGGGTAGGATCAAGTTCAATGATTAACAGTGTCTTTATTGCAACTATCAAACACAGTGTTACCCATACATTACAACAAAGTACTCCCAAGCATGTCTCATTCCAAATAAAATCCACCATGCAATTCAGCAATTAATATTTTATTAGCCCATATCTGGGTACAATGGGCATAAAGACACTACAAGCAATCTGTTTTTAAGTACAAATACTGATCTCGCACAGCTCTGCTTTAATTATGTGACAGCTGAAAGTGCATGTACAGTATACAGAACCTGAGAAATTCAAAGAAGATACTTAGTTTTTCAATTTTCTGCATCCAACAAGAACTTTGTACACTTTGATGCTATCAAATAAGCACAACTATTTTACAAAAATAATATTCTCTATAAAAAGCAAATCTATATATACTATCTCTGGATAAAATCTTCTAGGCATACATGAACATTCATTCAGTTCTTAAAAATTAGCATAAATTTCTAATCTACTTCTATATTAACGAAGCTTAACATTCAAACTAACTGGTAATTTGGTCCCGGCTTATCATTGCAGTATAATACATAGAATACAATTCTAATCCTGGAAATCTGAATAAAAATTAAGCTAAAGAGCTTAGGGAGAACCAGTCTATTTAATCAAAGGATTGGTTTAATTATAAACTGAAAGAAATGACAAAATAAGTTTCTACATTAAACCAACTCCAGTTAACCAGACTGTTATCAAGGTGGGGCTTGCTGAATTTACGGAGTGAAGAGTGCTATTCTGAGAAAAAACTAAAACAAGTAACTGCCTGATAAATTAAGAAGCAGTGACAATAATTCTGATTTAAATACTGACCAATTTAGAATTTTCAAGTTTTCATGATTAACAGAAAATGAATAGGAAACCAGATTCTCTATCAACATCTCTGTGGGGCATATAATCAGTGTGAGATCTTCAGTGATGCTAGAAGGTGAAAAATATAAAATGACAGAATGACAATTATGTGCAGAAATGAGATACATACTCTGAAGAACATTACTAATTACAAGATTTATCATACTTTCATATAGTCATTCTGACGCAATCGTTTCATCTACGAGCCTAAACTTATATTGCACTATTGATATGGCAAATATACAGGGGTAAAAACTTATATGATGCAGTTTCTAGTTGCAGACAACCAAAAATAATCTCTTGTCCACCTACAGTTGAAAGGCAGCCATTTTCATACTTACTTGTTCATGTTTCCATGTAATATACCACATTCATAAATCTCATGTAAAGCTGAAGATACAGAACTTCTTTCTATTCATTGACAATCTTCAGACTTGGTCCAGAAGGCAAGACTGTTTATTTCTACATACAAATATTCATAAAAGGATACTCATTGGGGAAAACTTCTTTTACATACAGACGAGTTTCTATTCCCATGTCACGGATTCGAACACCTTCATTACAGATGGCATAAACGTGTTCCACATACCATAGTCTATAACTTGAATCAATTTACTGACATATAATTAAGTGCAGGATTTTCCAAAAGCAGAGTGCATACCTGTAGAGTTGAAATTAAATAGGTATGGACCCTTATAAACCAAATGACTTTAGTAAGGATTTTTAGAAACTGGAAGGAACATCACTGACATCCATAATTTCAATTATATGAGTATTATCAATATTAAAAGTGACAGAATTAATGGTGTTAATGGTAATGAAACTGGTAACAACAGTGAATGTCACCATGTATGTGTGAAGAAATAATGCACAGCATCTCAAATCAAATCCTTCATCCTGTGGATGTCAACTAAAGCATTTTCATCCTTGTCCCCAGACCTGGTCCTCAAGCTGATGGTGACTGATGACTCACCTAACTCAGATGATGGGCCTAAGCTTGTAACCTTACATGGTGCTTCTGCTTCTTCCTCAGTTTCCTCCATGACATCTTCACAAGCTTCTTCATTGAGCGTCTGCAGGGCACCACAGATCATCTGCTCTTCAAGTGTCACCTGTAACAGTCACATAACACACACAATGCTGTCAGGAGTAGAGTGACACCAATGTTGCATTAATATAACTTAAAATAATTACATTCTAATCAGCAATGCTAAAATTATTTGCTATGAGATTTTTGTACTAATTATATTTCTTCACCAAATATGCAGGGACTTTATCAGGGTACAGGCAAAAATATTCCAGAGGCACTCACTTACAATCTCCCTTCATTCTTTCATATGTCAATTTAACTTAAACTGTATTCCTATTCAGCCCATGATAAGTATAAGTGAAAGAGAGGAAATGTATCTGGCAGCTATATATAAACTGCTGAGATAATGTGCCAAAAGGTGAAGCATGATGGACAGTAGGCCATTATGAAATGCAACACTGCAGAAGTCACATAACAAGACAAATGAATTGAATAAATATTAAGAGTCCTCACTACTGGTATCTCTATTTTGTCGCAGTGGTGGGGCATGCATGCCTAAATGAACCTGAGAGCCATCCCAGAGGTAACATATGTTACCAGTAGGGTCTCCCATGCTGGATGGGTCAAATGTGATAGGCCAGACCAAAAGAAATACCCGGGGTTGGGGCATGAGGCTGACAACCTCAACCCTGTTAAAAACTTAAACTGTTAGGAAACCTTGGATGACAGTCTTGGAGATATCAGATGTATCAAAATATGTGACATGGCATGAAAAATGAATTAAGAATTGGAACCATGGAATGTGTTGACTCTATATAGAGGAGGAGCCTTAAAACAACCTGAAAAAGTGCTGCAGCATTACAAGGTGGATATAATAGAATTACACAAAATTCATTGGACTGGACTAGGTGTTTTGGAGAACAGAAACTGCAGTGTGTACTACTGCAGTCAGAAAAGTAAACATGAATTTGGATGTGGATTCATAGTAAATTAAGAAAATAAAACATTCAATAAGTGACTTCAAACCTATTAATCGCAGACTGTGTACCTTGAGGGTTGGTGGAAGATTTAATAACATAAGCTTAGTATGTGAACATGCACCAACAGAGAAGAAAAATGAATATATTAAAGAGTTGTTATTGGGGGCCCAAAGAATGACACTACGATTCTTCTTGGAGACTTTAATGCTAAGGTAGGGTTCAAAGATCAAGAGAGATCTGATGCTGGGAATTGTGGACTGCATGAAGAAAGTAATGATAATGGATTGAGATTAACTGAATTGGCTAGTGCCCTGAATATGGTAATAGGGAGTACTACATTCCCACACAAGAAGTTACATTTAGCAACTTTGAGGTCCCCAGATGGTACAACAAATAATCAAATTGACCACATACTGACTGATACAAGACATACAAATAATATGACAGATGTGAGGACTTATAAGGGTGAAAAAGCTGATTCTGACCATTATCTTGTTGATACCAGAATAAGGGCAAAAATTAGCAGGTCAAAATATGTTCTGAATAAAGAGAAAACATTTGATTTGTTTCATTCTGGTCCATCTTTTATAAAAGGGAAAACAATAAGATACAATATAAGCAACTTAAAACAGACAAGAGTCTAGGAAAGAATATGAGCATAGGTAGGAGTGACAATTGAAGAAGGGTGGATCAACTTGAAAACAATTCTTAAAACAGCAGCAGAGGAAAGTATTGGGAAAGTTAAAAGGGACTTCAGGAATGGATGGTTTGACCAAGAGTGTAAACAAGTGACAGTGGAGAATAGGAAATACCAAGAGTATGCTTCGAAGGAAATTTAGTACAGTAGCAAGAGAAGAATACTGTGATGCAAGAAGGGGGGGGGGAAAGGATCCATAAGAAGAAAAAGAAGGATTATTATGAAAAACAACTTAAACGGCTACAAGAATATGATACAAAAAATGATAGTAGGAAGTTCTACAAGCAAGTGAACAGAATGAGGGATGGCTTCCAGGTTAAACCATTCAGTTGCAGTAGTACAGATGGTGACATTCTCTCATATAAAGCTGATATCCTGAACAGATGGAAGGGGTATTTTCAAAATCTGTATGATTTGACAGAGAATAAGTTGAAAATTCCCCACAGTGGACAGTACCATCTATTGATGAAGTTGGGAAATACCATTACCTACTTTGGAGGAGATGAATTTTGCAGTTAAAAAAAAATAACAGAGCTTCAGGACCAGATGGGATGAATGCTGAACCTTTTAAAAGTAGATGAAATGAATCTTACAAATAGGTTATAGAATTTCTATATGTAATAATACAAATGCCATAGTGAATGCAACAATTTATTTGGTTGTAGTTCTTTGTCTTTTCTTCCTCTACACTACATATTTCGGCCGTAACTGGGCATCATCAGGTGTATTTTTCACTATGTAGCTGTCACACTGCACACAATCCAAAATCTAAAACACCAGTCTGTCAGTTTTGTTTAAAATCTCTCCAATTTGATTTTAGAATTCCAATTTAAATTGGAATTCTAAAATCAAATTGACGAGCGTATGCTGGCGAGATCTTAAACAAAACTGACAAAACTGACAGACTGGTGTTTTAGATTTTGCATTGTGTGCAGTGTGACAGCTACAAAGTGAAAAATACACCTGATGATGACCAGTTACGGCCAAAAAATATAGTGTAGAGGAAGAAAAGACAAAGAACTACAACCAAATAAATTGTTGCATTCACGACGGCATTTGTATTATTACATATAGAAGTGTATGGTGCAACAGGATGCTTAAATATAATATAGGTTACAGAAGTTCGTTGAAAAGATATGGAAAGAGGAAATATTTCCCACTCAGTGGGAAGAAGGGTTAATATGCCCTATCTATAAAAAAAAGAGAGCTCGAATGATGCGTGAAAACTATCATGGTATTTCTTGGCTGAACATGGCATATAAAATATTCTCAGTTACACTATTTCAAAGACTACAAACTCATTGTAGAGACAAGTACTGGAAATTATCAGTGTGGATTTAGGCCTGGAAAGTCCACTTCAGACCATTTGCATTCAGTCAGACAATTCCTGGAAAAGATGAAAGAATATACACATACTATATATTTGTACATTTCAAAGCTGCATATGACAGCATTGACAGCAGTCTTTTCTTGAGGACATTTTGACAACATTAGATTCAAAACGATTTGCCATGGGCGTATTTTTAGATCTTACAAAAGCCTTCGATGTAATAAACCATGACCGGTTACTTACTAAATTGGACTTGTATGGGCTTAGAGGAAAAATCCATGAGTGGATGACCTCGTATCTAACGAACAGATTCCAATATGTAGAAATTTATCACCAGGACCATGTATCCTGTTATTCTAAGTCCTTTACCTCGTCACTTAAGGAAATTAAACATGGTGTTCCGCAGGGATCTGTTTTGGGTCCTCTGTTGTTTTTATTATTCATTAATGATTTGCCACATGCTATACCTCAGGCTAAGGTTGTACTATTTGCAGATGACACTAATATATTGTTCACTGATAACTCTCTTAGTTCTTTAAATATAAAAATCAAGAAGGTTATTGATCAACTAGAAAGTTGGTTTAATGTGAATCAACTTTTTGTTAACACTGACAAGACCAAAGTATTATTTTTCCATGGAAAAGGATCTACTTCTAGGAACAGACCGGTCATACGTTTATTCAATAGGGAATTAGTATATTCATCTTC